GCTACAAACATAATGAAAAAAGAATTGATGTTGTGCACCCAAAGATTTCGGGCTTAAGGTATTTCTATTTCATATTTTACGTTATAAACAACTAAGCAGTAATAATCCTAACTACTACAAAGAGTAAACATTTCACGCTTCGGTGAAAAGCTATTCTCAACTGTATAAATTTCATAAAATCCTGACTCTCATCAAAGGATGCTCAAGGGAAGTTGTTTTTGTTATTAGCATGTTATAAATTGCAAAAAATATTTAATTAGCCAGCATTCAAAAAAAAAACCAAACTTGAATGTGATGAAAGAACACTATCATCAAAAGTTCAAGGACAAACCTCAATCTGTCTTCGGGTTTTTGCTACATCAAGAGGACACGTTGCAGCAGCAGCAATGCTACCAGCAACAAAACCGGCTGAGAAATTTGCCCCTAAGATACTAGCTGCATTGCCTTCTTCACCAACTAGTGTAAGTAGTCTACGTCGGATCTGCAGGAAGGAACTACAATGTCAATATACATGAGCACAGGCCGGGTTCCATGAATAAAAAACAGCGCAACTTTCCATGCACTTTTCCATCTGTATGAAGATATAAATAAAATGAAGTATCCAGATCAATACGATCTAGTTATCCATTTCTGCAAATTTACCATGTTAAATGTGCAGTTCCTACCCAAGTAGCTCAAAAAAAAAAAAAAAAAAAAAAACCTTACCGGTTCAAGAGTTGACCAGCAGATAGCAGAAAAAGGAACATCACGAGCAAGTTGAGCTCCCACACCCATCCACAGGAAACGATAGCTTTGTGCTGCAAGTTATAAATAAGTTAACAACCCCATTATCAAACAACAATGTTTATGACCAGATCTTAGGTCTAAGATAATATGAAGGTTTGGGAAAGAACAAAGATCTTAGGTCTAATAAATACAAAGGCATGCTGTGAATCAAGATCCAACTCGCCTAAACTCAAAAAGCGACAAGCACGTTTTGGTTGGAGAGAACAATTTAAAAAGTTACTTTAAAGTCAACATTCCTCTTAAATATGACAAAACATTTTAACTAAGTAGAGGCATATACATACCGCTTTGTTGACTCACTGTACTACTAACAGGTGATAGAACACCACCCAATGTTTTTATGATGCCAGGGGGCTTGACTCCATCACGTAACTCTTTAAACGCCTGATATTATCAGTAAAAAGATAACTAGTGAGAAAATTTACTGGAATATTATGGCACTGTAATATGATATTAAAAAATATATATAATAATTGATTGACAGCGCCATTGTTAAAAACTGCCCGGGAATGAAAGCTATCCAGTTACGGTTATTCTAAGCTAATAAGGAACTAAATAACCGACAGTCGCTTTATGCCATCATCTACCAGTCTGCCAACATATGAAAGAGTGAGAATATGTACTAAGTATCAGAAAAATATCAAAGAACAAAATTCATGACGCAGATATGCAATTTTGCAAGAATAACCAAGAAAATAACAAGAAAAAGATAACAGATTTGAACATCAGTTCATTGAATACTATGGTTATCAACACTCAGTAAGCCGTTAATGTGTTAAAAAAGGGAGAGCTATGAACTATATTACAGTGTCCTGGAGATTTTAGTTGGGATAAGCCTGTGCATTGAAACTCACAAGATTACATAAGATACATTAAACAAAAATCTTGCTCAAGATTAAACTTTTTACAAGGTGTCATATTAACGTAACGCATTTTCTGCTGCTATACTGCCATGGATTAATGAAAGGAGGGAGAGAGGGAAGGTAGGGAGAGAGGGAGGGAGAAGGGCAGGGTGGGTTAGCAAAGCTAACGCAAATGATTCTAGGTTTTTTTTTCTCTGCAATTAGTTGCACTTGGTTTCTGAGATGGGGTAATAATTTTGAATAGTGCGGACTTAATAAGGAGTTTCAGCATGTTTGGAGGATGTGGCCAGCTTTTCTGTGACCTTGCAGAAGGTTGGACAGTTGAACTAAAATCTGTTAACTGAATCTGCATCTCAAGCATATCTATCCAATGGAATTGATAAACTTATAGAGTTCCAAACCATGGGACATATACCTGCATACGTGTCCTGGCCAACTCAATAGGATAACAAGTGATACAAGCTAATGATCGTGCTACTGATCCTGCCACTAGCGGAACATATGGTGTCAAACTAGGAGTATTGGCCGATGTGAAATCTTCAATCCAATTGCGAAAGATATCATAACAAGGTAAATATATTCCCACCTATTAGCAAATAAAAAAAAGTATTAGTAGTTATAAATCACACCGAAAATTCTTTCTAGACCCCAACGATAATAGTTTGATCCTTAATAAAGGTTGTAATTCAATCACCATCCAAATCAGTAGAAAAGGAACTTACAGTTGGTACAGCTAAGGCCAACCCGGCATTAGTGCCTCTCCATAATCTCCCTAGTCCTTCCTGTATTTTCCCATTCCATTAGATTATTGCAAATAACAAATTATTAAAAAAAACATAAATATGCGCCATCAAAACATGAAGCAAATGAAAACCTACTTGTCTAACGATTTTGTAGAAAACATCAAGCGTTCCCTTGTACTTGAAACAATCCGGAGGACATAACGTTGCGGTACCAAATATTCCAGCACGGGTGCACGAAGGAGAGCATCTGAAATCTGAGAAAAGCTGAAATACGCATCGAAAACCAATGTTTAGCCCGACAAATAGAGCACGGTCAAGCATAGGGCTCAGATAGCCGAACCCAAAAGTTTGGGTTAAAAGGCTTTGTTGTTGTTGCTAAACATCCTCACTTCGTCGCTTTTTCACTTACTACTGATTAACACATTAACCAGTTTATGTTCCCTTTTTATTTTCTTACACAAATACTAGTGAATACTGCAGAAATCAAATGGCCCCAATCTAAAATCACTCTAAAAAACAACAAATTCAAACCAAAAAAAAAAGAAAAGAATTATACCGTATTAGGGCCAAGAGATGCCATATGTCTCCCAAACTGATTCTGAGAAGAATTATACAACACTCCAGCCGCCTGCGCCTGCAACCTCGTCTAAGAACAAACAAACAAACAAACCCTAATAATCATTAATCAAGACCCTAACCAAAAAAAAAAAACCTTAAAAAAAACAAAAAGTTCCCACCTTTGCGACATCAAGAGGGTTAACGAGGATCGCCGAGAGCACCGCCGCGCCGG